TTAAACTAACAGGCGCCATCGTGCCAAATAGCATCCTATTAATAATGATGCAGATTTCGTCATTCGCTAAAGTGACACAAATGAACAGGATTTTTTTCTTTAACACGTAAAAAGTATTTAACGTGTTTTAAACATCAGTGTGACTTATGCAATATGCAAGCGTTACTAATGGTCTATTATTAGATGCTCGAACTCAATTTCTGACTGGCTTGTCTAATAGTAGATGCTTATTGCATCATTCGCAAAGTGACGAAACTCTACAGTAGGCTCCTCATATTCAAAAAGTTATTTTTTTCATCTTTGACAAGGTGACGAAACTGCACTGAAGGATTTCCTCGCGTTACAAAGTTATTTTTAGAAGCGTGTTGTAGTTTTACCGCTAAATATTATAGTACCCCTTTCTCGCAATGCGGGACGCTCGATTAACGGATGCTAAGTGCCAACATAGTCGCTCTAAAACTCTGGGCGCCAAACCGTGTATTGACGAAAGTTGTACCCTATATGGCGCCGCCCATAAGAAACGTTAGTTTTCTTTTTCGCAGAAATATTCTCGGGAGTATTCTCACCTACTCCCTAAAGTTTCATGGCACTCGGATGAACCGCATCCGAGTTTTATTTTTTATATACCGTGTATAGAAAAATAAATCGCTCCCCCCCGGAGGGCGCAGCACTTGCAATATTAAACAATATTTTTTTTTGCAGAACCCTACTATTGAGTGATCTAAACATCTCCCAAAAGTTTCATGGTACACGGATGAACGGTGTGAAACCGAAATAGACTTTTATATTTATAAACCGTATATAGAGAAAAAATGGAAGCCTCCCGTGGCGCCGCCCTTGCGAAATTTAAAAAGGATTTTTTTTTTTACCGAACCCTTCTTTCTAATTAACTCCCCCAAAGTCTCATGGCTATCGGATAACGGTGTCACATTAAAATCGACTTTAATTTTTATATACCGGGTATAGAGAAAAATCGCACCCTCCCGTGGCGCCGCCCTTGCGAAAATAAAGATGATTTTTTACAGAACCCTTTCCTAGAGTTTTATAATGAACTCCCCAAAGTTTCATGCCTATCGGATGAACGGTGTCACTGCGATTCACTTTTATTATTTTTATATACCGTATATAGAGGAAAATCGCACCCTCCCGTGGCGGCGCCCTTGCGAAATTAAGAATTATTTTTTAACAGAACACTTTCCTAGAGTGTTCTAATCAACTCCCTAAAGTCTCATGGCTATCGGGTGAACGCTGTCAAACCAAAATCTACTTTTATTTTGATATATCGTATAAAAAAACAAATTGCGCCCTGCGCTACCCCTGCGAATTTGAAAATGTCTTTTAATGCAGAAACCTCCCCAGGAATATTCTAAACATCTTCCCAAAGTTTCATGGCGATCGTGTGAACGGTGTCACTGTAATTCACTTTTATTATTTTTATATACCGTATATAGAGAAAAATCGCACCCTCCCGTGGCGCCGCCCTTGCGATATTAAAAATGATTTTTGTACAGAACCCTTCCCTAGAGTGTTCTAATCTACTCCCCAAAGTTTCATGCCTATCGGATGAACGATGCCAAACCAAAATAGACTTTTATTTTTATATACCGTATATAGAGAAAAACAAATCGCGCCCTGCCGGGGCGCCACCCCTGCGAATTTGAAATTATTTTTTTCGCAGAAACCTCCCCAGGAATATTCTCAACAACTTCCCAAAGTGTCACGGCGATGTGATGAGAGGTGTAATAACGCATAAAGGACAAACACACAAACACACAAATACACAGACACACAGACACACAGACACACAGACATACATTGCTTTATATATATAAAGATATAAATACCTACAACGGATCAAATAATTAGTTTTTTTAAATATGAAATTCAAGAAAGTTTGATTTGCTATGTAACGTTTTGAATGAGAACAAAATCTTTTCTTAAAAAGTTATATAGTTTAGATAAGTATATTTTGTTTAAAGTATTCATTTTACTTTTTGTTGACACATAAAAAGTTGTTGTTACAACTTGGCTTACAGATTTTATCTGGCGATGAATACACTACA